TTTACCTTGTTAAAAGCTTTTGAGAAGTCCATCATTACACAGTCGACCTGCTTTCCAGCTTCCATGCTTTTGGGCACATCGTCCACAAAGTCAAGAAGCTAAGTTTCGCAGGAGACACCCTTCCGAAAACCATGTTGAAGCGGGTTGAGAATGTTGTGTTTATCTGCATGAGACATGATGTGAGATGTCACAATGTGCTCCATGACTTTGCAGCTGATGCACGTCAGTGACACTGGTCGATAGTTTTCAGCCAGGTACCTCTGACCTTTTTTAAAAATTGGTGCGACATTTGCATTTCGCCAGTCTTGCGGGACTTCACCCGAGTTGTAGGAGGCTTGGAAAATCATAGTCAGGATTGGCGCAATTTCTTTTGATAACTCCTTCAGTACACGAGGACGCATATTGTCAGGTCCTGGAGGCTTACCATGCTTGAGGGCCTGCCGCAGCTTTTCCCCACCTGGGGGAACAACAACAACAACAACGACTCACTCGCCTAGACATGATATAAAACCAATAAAATAATAGGCGTTGCTAGATAGATGATTACAGCTCTGAGATTAGTCACAAATATTGTTAAATCAGCACTATACTAGATGCTGGTATAATACCATACAAAAAATACACAACGAGCGATCGAGGAGAGTTCACCCATGTGAGTATTCCGGCTATCGCCCAACCCTCCTAAACGTCATAACCCCGTGTCTTTAGTAGGTAGCAGAACAATGGTATCGTTAGAGTACATCTATATACTACTAAGTCTTTATCATAACCCGCCATGCCATATACTGTTGATGTACATCTACTGCATGATCGTGCATGGTGGTGGCATCACGCCAAGTCAACGGACACTAGGGGTGGTCATTGTATGCGAAGGTGATGTACGTTTTCGGTGTTTCTCTTACGTCCCTCATTGCACGTTCCAATTTTACTAGCAAATTCGCTATTTTATAGATCTACTAATGGTGTAACTCCTTCGCTCCGACTATAGGTAGCAAGAGCGAGGGGTGGCTACACTGGTAGAGCTACCATTTTACGTGGTCATGCGAGACACGAGGCATTTACAGTTCCTAATGTTGAGCCAGCTAGTGGCCCCGTTGTTCGTAACATTTCGTACAGTATAGGCTGATGCTAAGACCAATACAACACTTTTCGATCAATGTTAATTCTACGAGAATAGCGTTATCAGCGATGTACCTATACCTATGCAGTTTGATATCTATGGTACTAGCAAATATAAGAACCTAAAAAGTAGGTCTCCAGGCATATCGTTTTTTTTTTATAACAGAACACTTTTGTAGCGTTTATACCAATTAATGCACCATTTTCGCATGTCATGCAGCGGTCATCACGGGTTGAACATTTCTAGAACACCTGCCAACGCGAACTATTTGCCTCTCAAATACGCAAGTATCAGTTGCAGAACACGCACATTATATAAACATGCATATATTGCTGCATTCACACGCTAAAATATACGCGGCTTGCTTAGCCACGGCTTACTTAGCCGCGATTGCTCCGGCTTGCTTAGCGCGGAATCATATTCCTCGCCAACTAAGCCGCGTATATTCGGCACCACGCTGGCCGCGTATTGATTGTCTTGTGAACCTAGACTGCTACCCGTTCGCTGCACGACGTTAGGGTAGCGTGTGGAACTGTCGACCGGCCCGGGTACCAGTCTATATTATACCGAGCTAGCTAAGCCTTGAATCTCGTGTATCTCGTGTGAACGCATTTTAACCGGACTTAGCACCAACTAAGTATGGTACCAGCTAAGCCGTGTATACGTGTGAACGCAGCTGGGGAATCCCCTATTATCTACTTCTGATATATATAATGTGCGTATATATATATATATATTATTATATATATATATATATATGCTTTAGCAACCAGCAGCTACTATAATCAGCAGCTAATACTATCTACTTTATTAGTAAAGGTTAGATGCTCTAACTAATAAAGAATCGCACGATAACTACTCGTACTTGCAATGAGCAGCTTCCTAGGAAACAATTGTGTTGACAGTTGTTGGTTTCACAAGGCTTTCAGAATAACTAGAGTATTTCTACTTTCTACGATTTTCAAAGACGTATATTTGGCTGCGACCTCTACCGTATTTGTATAGCATGAGCCCGTTGTCAGACACAAAATTAGTCTTAACATTAACTTTTTCTCTTAGACCGTCGTCAGAAACACTGCGAAGTTACCTGAATGAAAAATCGTAGCAATTTCCTCATAACAATACGAAACAAAGCGCTGTCGACGGTCCACGAGAAAATGTTAGTGTTAAGACTAATGTTAAGACTAATTTTGTTTCTGACAACGTGCTCCAGGTATCGGATTTGCTTCAATCGTCATGTGCAGTCTCATGAACATCTACTACAATGTCATCGTCGCCTGGGCGGTCTTCTACTTCATTGCCATCTTCCAAAGCGTTCTGCCGTGGAGGACGTGTGACAACGAATGGAACTGTTTCTCGGCCGACATGAATGTGTCCAACAGGAGCAACGAGAGCATCGCATCTGTCGAGGAATACTGGGAGTAAGCTATGCGGAGCGCGTGCGAAAGTGCAAGTAATATATTTATATATACCAAGGGGGAATAATGACAATGAAGTGAATGAGATAAAAAAAAAAAAGGTAAATAGGATCCACGAAATGTATTTACTACCAAAGTCTCAATGTTTCCCCATACTACTCTCTTTCGCCGATTATTACCGATAATTTTCTGTAAATGCCGTTCAAATGAATGACCGCTCGCAGACGCCGCAGCTAAGTGAGGAAACGCGCGCGTTGGCACGTTGCCAGGATATGCACTGTCTCGTACTTTGGGTCATGCGGAAGGGCCGAATTGTAGATCGCAACACTGAGAGAGAGAGAGAGAGAGAGAGAGAGAGAGAGAGAGAGAGGAGAGAGAG